GGTGAGCTAATGAGATTAAAAACCACGTTTCAAAAAGTGCAGTGATTTGGTACTTGTGATAAACTTTGCTTTTGTATACTTCCTGAATCGAAAAAATCACTAAATAAAGAAATTCATAGTGTTACTGTCCAGCAAATATTATGGTGATGAGATAACGGTGAGATTATATTTCATGGACGACCTGCCGATGACGCCGAAGTGACATTGTGTGTCCACCTACTTACTAAGGATAAATGAGAGTTACAAAGCAGTTTGAAGAATAAGGATTATGACTTACAGTTGACGGTTAAGGTAAGGAATTAGAGTCACTGTTTTTCATTGCTAACTGACATCAACTATAAATCCAAGACGCTATTTATCCAAATGAATGAGTGAATTAAGTGCCGAAACCTAATACCTGATTAGTTCGTCAATAAATTATGGTCGTTCCGTCCACGTATATGAGAATTTCCACCTCTTCCAGAACTCCCCGTTGTATTTGAAGATTTTGCTTTTTCTCTTGTGTGTGTTGCATCTAAACTATCGACTGTATTACATGCTTACCCTCACATGTGGAGGTCTTTATAGTCCAGTTAACCACCAATTCAAAGAAAATGGGATACATGCTATTTTTATTTCTTGGAATGAACTTATGTGCTTACGAATTATTTCAATGTTTAAGTTCGGAATATTTATTTCAGCAGTCGAAGTTGAGTTACGAATCCGTCTCCGACATTGAACTTCGTGGCCTCTTTCTGTTGTTCAAGTGTAATGTTTTCATATCTGGTCATTTTCCGTATTATTTTTACGAAACGTTGACTTCTCTTTACATTCAAATCTAACACACTACACATAAGTAAGTGATAATTCCTTGAGTGATTCATATGACGATACGATTCCCTAGAAGGTTATACGCTTCTTTTGGTCACGCATCAGATTTCGAACGACTCCATGTTTTCCTCGAAGTCCTTCTCAGTTACATAAGTAGCATTGTCTGACTCCAGTCCTCACTTGGAATGAGTCCTTCATCTGTCCTCCATGCATCACTTTGAAGTGTAGTCCGTCGTATGAATTCCATATGATGTGGACGGTCTTATCAGGCACACCACAGTGTCGAATAAGGTTCCATAGTATTCTTTTCGATACCTGCTTCGCAACTCTCCAATAAATTGTTATCTTCATAATCTTGAGTACACATTGGATTGGGAAGATGCAGTGATGTAGTGGATTTCTCGACATCCTGAAGGGTCATTTTATGAAAATCTTATTCGTTATAGCACTCGATAGCTGTACACTATACATGATCTAGTAGTGAGCCCTTGAAATTTGCATAAGAATGGGAAATATGCTTTATTGGAAATGCCAAAGTTTATAATGAATGTAAGTAGATGAGCCATAATATTAACATCCACGATATCTTCACTGATTATAGTCCATATTTCGAACCTTTCCACATAATTCTCATAAGCACTAAAATTTGGATCTTTGTCCAACCGTTCCATCATAGATTCCTGTTCTTGACTCCAATGTGATGATTGAAAGCTAATTTTAATCTCAGGATCTCAAAACTGTCGTATGACTGGCTAAATTAAACGTAGGTAAAATTTTCTTTAAATTACTTGATAATAATTCTAAGTCTGAAGTGTCATAATCTTATTCGTCTTTCAGAACAGAGAATTCACAAATACACATTAAAAATTATTCAGTAGTTGTCAACTAATTACTTGTTGGTTGATCAAAGAGCAGTGATTCTGTACTTGTTGTGATTATCCGTGCTTTTGTGAAATTTTTTCATCAAAAGGTTTAAAATCTTGCTAAAATTTGTCTTGTGGTGCCCTTTTACTCATTGACTGACACTTGTGTTCATATTGTGTTTTACACCTTAATCTGGCTAAAATGTTTGGTAGTACCCACAAGTGTGGACAACCAAACTGTTTGTTCCCCGTGGAAGAAGGAATGCAGTGTGATGAATACTAAAAGTAGTTCCATAAGATGTGCATCCGTTTTAGTCCCATCACATACAAAAGATATTGGAAGCCTAACTCACATTGGCTTTGCATGTTTTGCTACGCAAATGAGACTTTACTAATACCTTTAATGGAAACTGAAGATCTGAATAACACCGTCACCGCTCAAAATGCATATGGTGTCCTGAGGGATGAAAAATGGACTGTAGTACGGAGAAGATCAAACAAAAAATAAAAGATGTAAGCAGTACGCAGACGGTTAGCAAATCATTGGAATCCCATTGTGAGTCACAAAATGCACTATAAAAATCTGACAGTTATAAAAGAACCCACCCTGGCGTGACTGCGAAGGAGAACCTGATATCATTGGACAGTATTGTGAGCATATTGCTCGAGTCAAACGACCATGATCTCAAAATTTGACGCGCGCATGATTTGAAGAAGCTGGAAGAATATATTCGTAGTACTTTACCAGATAACACCAAAGGAGTTCAGGTCAAAAAATTGGTGAGAATAGGCAAGAGGACCGAGGACAGTGCTGAACCCTAATCTTGTAAACCCCTTAAGGTAATCCTAGGTTCGGAGAAACAACGGGATCTCCCGCTAAGTAGCGCTCGCTGTTACGACAATTTTGACATCCGAGTTAGGCCTGGTATGTCTTTCGAAGATAGAATAAACAGGAAGAAAGCACTAGCTGAACTTGAAACTTGTCGGCAAAACGGCGAGGAACATCTCGGGCTAGTGGGTTTTCGGATAGTCAGGTCTTGGAAGCGAATGCTACAAAGGCGTGTGTGGACAGGCCGTTTTATCTAGGATTTTTATATGCCAACGCTCGTAGTCTACGAAATAAGTTCTATGAACTAGAAGCACTAGTGGACAGATTTATGCCACTCATAGTAGCAGTTACAAGAACTTGGTTAGTCCATGACTTAGACATTACTCCAGAATTATCCGGATACCATTGCATCAGGAGTGATAGACATAGATGTAGGAAAGGATGTGGCGTTCTGTTATATATAGCCAATAATATACATATCCGCTCCTTTACTAGCGAATCCCATGATAACGTACTTGTGAAGTCATTAGCTGTAAGTTGACTATAGGATGTAGTACATTTATGTTTGGTGTCATCTATCGGAGCCCAATCTGCCTAGCTGATGACTTTGTTTTAGAGCACATTCATTTTGGGAGTGAAAATACCAGATGCTTGATAATAGGAGACTTTAACGCACCTGATATTAGTTGGACTGATATGACCACGGAATGATCTATAAACCTGGTACCACGAAGACTGAATAAGAGTCCACCATGGATAACTAAATCAGTTAGGAAACGTCTTAGAAGAACAGTTGGTTAGGGATTCCAGATGTAGTCTGAAATGGTTATTCTCGTGTATAAAATGGCGAACTCAGAAGCTGAAGCTTTATCGGAATATTTCTGTAAAGTGTTTTCTATCAGTAATGAGGAACGACCAACGATTCATTGTGATTGTGGCGGTTCGCTGATAGACCTTGTAGTCACTGGGAAAGTTACTGTTTTAAGGCTACTTTAGCGTCTCACACCTGATAAGTCTAGCGGTCCTGATGAGATTCATCTTAGGATTATGGAAACCATATCAGGCGTAAATGCTGAACCACTAACGATACTGCTTGATATGTCTCTGAGGCAGTCCAGACTGCACAGAAACTGGAAAAACGCTATAATAAGTCCAATGTATGAGGCTGTATGTAGAGATTTAGTCAGTAACTATAGACCTGTTAGCTTAACTAGTGCAGTTGTAAAACTGATGGAAAATATCATTCCGATATCTTTTATAAATCATGTTGAAGGGTATAATCTTTTATCAAGGGAACAACATGGTTTTCGGAGAGACCTACCATGTTTGACAAATCTCATTGCAAGAGAAGATTGGGCAGTTAATGGACCAAGTCGAGACATATTTGCTGGCGATCTCGTGGTAACGAAATAATACCGAGGACGTGCCAGGATACAAGCTTGGTTATTGAGCGTAACCGGATCCGAGCGAGGTCACAATCAAAGTAAGTATAATGGATGTTTTTAGCACACTTAAACAAAGAGCACATAGAAACAATCACTGATACAATTAGTTATAATAATTGTTTTCAGAAAGGGTTTGTGGAGAATTTAGAAATTTTCACAGATTTAAATCATGAGTCAATTGAGGCTAGACCACCATTGAAAACCTGGAAGCACTGGACGGCCTTTTCGTCCTAGTATGGGACTCCTCAGCAGTGCGCATCCACGATCCCGCACCACGCGGGGCTCGAGCCCAGGACCTACTGGCTTCTCGCGCGAGCACTTAAGCACTAGACCACTGAGCCGGCATCCAACGGTGTTAATGTCTAACTTCAACCAATCCAATCATCTGCTCATTAGTGACTGACTTCAAGAGATACTCATGGAGTTCTAGTGTTAAGCCGTCACCAGTGGAGGACAACCAGGTCTGTTGTGAGATATCAGCTCACTGAAGACTATGGTATATGGTGGCGCAACTTCGTGGATTGGTTGAAATTAGACATTAACACCGTTGGGTGCCGGCTCAGTGGTCTAATGGTTAAGTGCTCGCGCGCGAAGCCAGTAGGTCCTGGGTTCGAGCCCCGTGTGGTGCGGGATCGTGGATGTGCACTGCTGAGGAGTCCCATACTAGGACGAAACGGCCGTCCAGCGCTTCCAGGTTTAAAATGGTGGTCTAGCTTCAATTGACTCATGATTTAAATCTGTGAAAATAATTGTTTTCTTTAAACAAATCGTGCTCTCGTGATAAAAGTAAGTCACTACATGTCTTATCTTTTCCTTCCGTCTAGGACTCATCATTTGAGAAGCAAGTTAAAAACCAATATCAAATCGTCTCCATCTGGAGTTTCATTCGTCGCACTGAGTAGTGAATTGCTGGAACTCTCTACAAGAACACGTAATATTAGCACCTTCTGTTGATATATTCAAAACGAGATTGGACACACACAGTGTTAAAAACTGAAAGGATTAATATAAGTGGACAGACCTCAGATTCTATCCTTATAACTAAAGACCGAAACTCAACAACCCACCGCAGTTTAATTACGTATTGGCCGCCCCATGTTTGGCCTTTCAAGGTCGGTTGAACAAAACGGCGGGTGTTCTTGAGTAAAATAGAATTCTGCCGTGCCACGTAACCTAAGTGTTGTCGAAGATGCCGCGCTACCCGCCTGATCGGTAATTCCATTTAATCTATATTATAAACTGCCTTCTTATTTGACAACATTTAAGTCTCCCCAGTAATTTTACAACAGTTTGTGGTATTTTAAGTAAACAGACTTCTATTGTGCACACATTAAAAGACTGTTTTATAATCGTTAACTATATCTACATAATCTTATATCCTTTTTTAGTTGGTTTGATTATACCTCATTGGGCGTCCCAGTAAAAGGGACGCGTTTGCTTCCGATAAAACTACCTATACCATCAGAAAAGTCCAGCAATATTCCTTTTCATTTAAGGTAAGTGTACTTGTTTCAGTAAACACTGTTCAGATTTACACTAGGTGACCTTATTAACTGTGTTGAATCATATAACCAAAAATTGACGTGTGTCATAGATTTGACATATGCAAACTATTATTCGCCAAAGGTAACTTTCCTCGTTATTTACCTCCCCAGTTCCTTCGTGATAATAATATAAGTTACCATAAGATATATGTAGAAGGACATACAATCCCAAATTCGAAAACTGTTGAACAGCAAGTTCTTATTAAGTTCAGAATCGACTGTTTTAGGTTCATCAATATGGTTAACAAGGAACGTGAACAATCTCCAGGTTAGCTGTTATTTCTCTATGCAACCTTAAATTGTTGTTTTCCTGTGATATATTAGATTTGCAATAAGTCATTGTGTTTAGATTTAGTTAAAATTCAGTCTTTCATAATATCCTACTTCGTTTCTTTTTTTCGACTACATAATATCTGCATTTTGTCTCAAAATTTTCCTACTTGTCGGTACTAATAACGTCTAAGGTTTGTTCCTCTTTTCCGTACCTGCCAAAACCTATCCTTCCATTTTGTTTTGTCAAAGACTACAATAAGTCGGTCACTCAAACGTTTCGAAAAGCCTCATTCACTACATATAAATGATTGCAGGACTATCATTCTACGGTGAGACTATAATTTATGAGATCGTAATTTATGAGTTACCTTTGAGCAGCACTACTGTGACTGACAGTCTCGCTGTTGGGTATTAATGTCCGAAGTTTCGCTTTATCCCGGCGCTCCTCGTTTGTCAACTATCACGGTATTAATATTTTTCTGTTAACTGGATTGCCTGTAAATTGAGTTGTGTTGCAAGTGTTGGATTTTAGTTTGCTGAGTAAATATTTCATGATCAATTCTTCCTCATCTATCTACAGGTCCATTGGGAACTATCTCTGATCATTTCTGTGAATGCGTGCCTGAAATATTCGCTCGATTACCTATCTTACAAGATCCTACAGTTTCACCTTGCAAAGTCTTGATATCGTAGCTTTTCTGACCGACTAGTCTGATATAATTTCTCCCCACATCCGTTCCAAATAATTAGGTGTACTTTGAAAACTAGCTTCTTTCATTTCATGTAATTTAGAACACTCCTGTTAAATGTATCATTGTTTATCATTTTACAATAGCTGTTATGAATACTCAACTACTTATCTACGTTTTCGAGTATATTCTCACAAATCTGAGTGCTATTAATGTTCTAATTTTTGTATTTTTAGATGGTATAATTGCTGTACACTGCACACATGGTGTAAACCGAACGGGTTATTTAATATGCAGGTAATGTTCGCTACCATACTACCTATTAGTCTCAAGATATCTTATCGATTTTATGAATATAAATCCTAAAGATGCTCTTAGAGGTAAGTGCTTTTGTCATGGGAAACAGTTCACTGTTTTGTAGAATTCGAATGGGCACGTGGTCATCCTGTCGAAAGAGAAAATTATGTTGAAGATTTATTGAATTCTGTCAGTAAATTAGAGGTCACAAACGTTGAAAACAATAGAAGTGCGTGAATAAATGTACATTAGTGTCATTATTTTATTTAATGCTTTGAAAGTAATATCCAAACACTCAGAACCTTTATGATACTCCTAAAGCTACTGCATGTTTTGTTGTGAGATAAGGTATTAAATAGCTATTTTCTCTTCATTGCCTTTCATAAAGTACGATGCAGAAGAACTTGGTATTATTGTAAGGCAATAAAATCATTACTGTGGCTAATAAAATTACTTCACAGAAATGCGAAATAATATTTTTGATAAACACTTTGTTTAATCGTTGAGTGCCAAGGCTCCGAATAGTGTAGATAGTTGCTACAATAGATGGTAATTACGAGTACATTGAAATCGACAAAAAAAACTTATTTTTATTTAATCTTGGCTCTAGTATCCTAAAGGAACAAATGGCATATGAACCAATCTTTGGTCACCGGCTAGCATGGGACTGCATGTTCTGACGTTGTTGCACTGTCTTGTGGTTCAACACTTTAGGTCGAAGGCTCCGTGTGTTTTCCCTTAAGAAAACCACCTGCTTCTGTTTGGCACCCAAGTAGTATCATAGCCCACACACAAATCAAGTGACTTGTGTGGCGCGTATGTATTTAGTGCCCTTTTGTACCAATATTTGTGTTCAAATAAATAAGTATCTAGCAGACCTCAGTTCAATCATTTCATACACGTTAGAAATATGTTCATTTTACTTTCATAAAGGCACAGGCTGATTTAAAGAGGCCCTTCACTCCCACCAAATGTAAATGACGGTTATACACATTTACGACTACAAGTGCTCACTTTATAATGTTACAGATCATAAAAGCTCAAACATTGCAGTAATGTCAATAAATAGTAAGTCGAATCAGGGCTTCAAGCTTAAAATAATTTAGAAACACAACTTTTGTCAATGATTAAAATGAAAACTGACTTCTGTAAAATTTTGTCTCTGTGTGTTAATGATGAGTTTTATTTCCAAATCAGTGACCACAAATTATTGATATTTCTTGTTCAGATATGTATTATTTCACCAAAGCATTCAAGGAATAATCTTTGCTGATAGATTTTTCTGAACTGTCTGAAAATTCAAATGAAACAGATTCACATTTCTATTTACTAGTTTGTGAGGCTTGTTCATTCAGTAGACAAAATTAGTTAGAAATATACTGCCTAAAACAATCAGACAGTTGACAGGCGCTTGGAATGCATTGTGGATAAACAAATGACCTATGAACCTATCGTTGGTCACACCGGCTACCGTGGGTGTGCATCTCCTAATGTTGCTCCACTGCCTTGTGGATTAGACCTTTATATCATATGCTCGATGTGTGATCTAAGATGTCTACGTAGTGACCTAGAGGCTATGAGTTATCTATCCAACCCTTAGTTGGGTAGCTGATAGGTCCTATGCCAAGACGAAACAACTGTTCGTTGCTTTCTTGTTTTAACTGAATATCAGCGTCTAATCGCCTAACCATTACACTTGATCCTGTATATGTTAAGAGATGTACTCGGATAAAAATCACTTTCAAGTTCGACAGACAGATAAATTTTACTAAAAGAATGTGTCAATTTCTAACGAAAAGAGTGAATCAACCAATAATATTTGACCTCAATGTCCATTTATTAAGAATCACTTAATCCGAGATTGATTATTGCTTTGATACTCTTTATTTAACTGCCGATCCCGAAATTGTACCAGTTGCATAGACATGGTTAACACTTGTTACTGATTCATTTCGTTGTCTCTGCTACCGTAAAGTATATGTGCGTTTATTATCCTTTTTTTAATTGACTATCTTTCGTTTTTGTACTAATTGTTTTGATTTATATTTTATAAACAGATTATAATTGTTCGCAAAATATAGAGTTAGACCGACCGTAGCTGCTACCTTGACGCGGTGGTCGGGCTTGCCCATCGTGGTGACCCAACCGAGCTATATTGGCTGGAACATATGTTCCTGTAGGTTCTACCATGTCAGGCAGGTCGATTGAAGAACGTTAAGACTAAAAGCAGCAACTCAAGGTCCGAGGGCGAAGTCGTACTGCTGACTGTAGAGAGGTGTGACAGCAGTGAGGTGTTTCCCTCGGACAACCATCATCTGCAGCGATGCTGCCTTCTCACTAGGAAGGGGTTAGAAAAGATCGACTCTAAAAATGTCACACCTCATCTTGCCTCACAGATTTCCGTCTTCGCCGGTAAGGCCCTTTGAAGAACGTAGCTAACACGTCAAAAACCTTCCACAAAAAGACCGTACACGACCGGCCTCAAGCAGTTGTCCCCTGAGCTCTGCGATCACGCTCCCAGGCCGTTAAGGCTGAAATTAATCCGAATTCCTTTTCAGGTTCCTCAAGAATTTGGGAACTAGACGTAATCCCATCTGACCGGTCTCAATCACTGATTGTGTCAGTTTTTAAGAAAGGACAAAAGTCCTCTTGTGACAATCACAGAGGAATCAGTTTGACAAATATAGTGTCTAAAATATTAGCTTCAATAATACTTCGACGCTTAACTAAAGCTCGTGAAAAGCAGACTAGAGAAAACCAGGCTGGTTTTCGATCTGGATGTGGTTGTGTAGACCAGATATTCACACTACGTCAGGTTCTAGAACATGCATACGTTCAGACGTCCCACAATCACAGTATTTCTTGACCTTGAAGTAGCATTCGACTCTGTTGATCGTGAGGTTCTATGGCAGTGTTTGTCATTGAAAGGAGTACCAAAGAAATACATTACCCTTGTAAAGACTCTCTACTCGAACAAATCTGGTCGAGTGAGAGCTTATGGCGAACTGCCATCAGAATTGATTACCTTGAGTGGTCTTCGTCAGGGCTGCCCACTCTCTCCATTCTTGTTTAACTTTGTCATTGACGTACTTTTAGAGATAACACTTTTCTCATCTAAATTTCCAGGGGTTGAACTCCTACCAGGAAATTCACTTGCTGACTTGGAATATGCCGATGACATAGTTCTATTTGGTGAAGACGCTGACAAAATGCAGAGTCTTCTGACCACTCTAAGCAACAATGCAAGCATGTTTGGAATGCGATTCTCTCCCTCGAAATGCAAAATGTTGCTTCAGGATTGGGTTGCTTCGACACCCGAACTAATGATAGGGAGTGAAGTAGTTGGGCGTGTCAACCGTTTCACTTAACTTGGAAGTCTCATAAGCCCTTGTGGTCTGGTGTGTGACGAGATCTCAGCACGGATACAGAAGGGTCGACTAGCTTTTGCCAACTTGCGTCATTTATGGCGTAGGCGAGATATCCGTCTATCAACCAAAGGACGTGTTTACTGCGTAGCAGTTCGTTCCGTCCCACTTTATGGCAGTGAAACGTGGCCGGTAAGAGTAGAAGATATTCGTAGGCTACAAGTATTTGATCATAGGTGTCTTCGAAACATTGCTCGTATATCCTGGGACCATCGAGTAAGTAACGCAGTTGTTAGGAAACGGGTACTAGGTAAGGATGGCAAATCCATTGATGAAGTAATGAAACTTCATCAGTTGAGATAGCTGGGACACGTGTTACGTATGCCCAACCACCGACTGCCTCGACGTGCGATGCTCAGTGGTATAGGAGTAGGTTGGAAGAAAGCTAGGGGCGGCCAGACCAAAACATGGCACAAGTCCATGAAGTCACTGACAAGTGGTCTGAGTCATGTTGGTAGGTGTAGACTACCTGGTTGGGGACCGCGAGATGATAGCAACCGATGGTTAGAGACCCTGAATGACATGGCTCAAAATGGTTTGCAATGGCGCAGGTGCATACACTCTTTGTGTTCTCCCAAATTCTAACCTTCTGAATTCTTCATGTCCCTCCAAATTTATTTCACTGGACTATACTCTTTAAATAACACCTGCAAACCCTAATGTTTCCGATTACTGCTTACACTCTTACTATCTCTACCACTATGGGATTTGAATCGACAACTGCATCTCTGTGCTAATGTGGTATGGCAACTTGAACTGATGTACGTACGTACGAAGTTCTACGTTGTTACTGACTGACTGAAAGTTAACTGTTTTGACTATAGCCCTGCTTAGACTGTGCGACGTATTCGAAAAATCCACTAGTAGGTATTTACTTCTAACAGAATGTTCGGCAGTGACTTTGGAACCAACCTTTACAAAAGCACTTACTACTTGTTTCCACTAGTTTTGTGAACTTATGTTGCATCCGCTTTTCGTCCTCTTAATTTCGTTAGTAAAATGGATAATAGGATGAAGGAAGCAGCATTCAAAGACTGACTACATTTTCTTGAGATGGATGTTGAACAGATAAAAAAACACGTTACGATGTTTCATAACTTATCACATCTCAGGAACACTTATATGCTCTAAGGCACGCTAATCGTTCACTGTAGAAGAATGACGAAAAACTGATTAAATCATATGTTGAATTTAACATTTGTCCGGCGATCAAAATGTTTCTTGACATCCGCACATCATACAATCGATAAAAATGATTGACATCCAACCGGCGTTTATCAGTGGCTTGATGTGAATATCCCCTCCTGAAAGGCATCAGGCGTATTGTTTTTGGAACAAAATGAAAACTGCCTGAATATGTTTTGAGAGCTTTGTTAGGGAAAGTTTCACAAGAGACTCACGTCGAAAGCTCGTTAGACAGTAACACCTTTCATGCGTTGCCACATGTTTGTTTCCAGAATATATACTAACTTTGAACTATAAAGTGTGTCATTCAAACTTTTGGGCTCAGTCAGGTCCCTACGTTAAATAATAACCAGTTTCAGGTTTCGTGGGGCTTTGAGAAGTCGCTAATAAACATACTTATTAAGTTCGCGTCGCATCGATTCCTTGTTACCATGCGGGAGTTCTATCCGCTATGGATTAATGAGTGAAGGGTCATGGTCCTCTTAACTTTAATTGTGGTTAGACATGATGACAGCGAAATACACAAATATCCAAAACAAATTTGATACAAGAGAAAAAACGAGCATATACAAAAATTTATTTAACATCACGACAGTCTTACAGCAGACTCATAATATAGCGGTTAGTTCACCGGATCACAGATGTTCATCAATCAAGAGGCTTAGGACAGGCGGAATAGGGAAAATTCCCCCCAACATTCTATTTATGTAATGATCTGTAAGTCAATAAAACCAGAAGTCTATCTGGACGAAGCGTGAACGTATATTTGTATTGTGTAGTATCTAAGGTAACCATTTATCGTTTAACTTCATCACAGACCTACTGATGGGAATAACGTTCTCGTCGACTGAATTCCTGGGTATTGATCTCCTTCCAGGAGGTCCACTTATCGACTTAGCATACGCAGATGATATAGTCCTGTTTAGTGAATACGCTGTCTTTTCGTAGCACTGAGCAACAATGTCAGGAAGTTTGGGATGCGCTTCTCCTCCTCTAAATGCAAGTTGTTGTTTCAGGACTGGTCTGCATCAACACCTGAAACAGGCATAGGGAGTGAGGTAGTCGAACGCGTCGACAACTTAACTTATCTTGGAAGTCTGATCAGCCCTAATGGGTTGATATCTGACAAAATCTCAGGACGGATTCGAAAAGCTCGTTTGGCTTTCGTCACCTATGGCAAAGGCGAGATATCCGTCCATCAATAAAAGGATGAGTATACTGCGCGGCAGTTCGTTCTGTTCTACTTTATGGCTGCGAAACATGGCCACTAAAAGTAGAAGATACTCGTAAGCTACTAGTATTTTACCACAGATGCCTTATAAATATTGCTCACAACTGATGGGATCGCCGGGTAAGTAATAGTAAGGTCAGACGATTGGTGGTAAATCATTTGGTGAGGTTGTGAATCTTCACCATGTGATATAGTTGGGCCACGTGTTGCGTATGCCCGAACACCGATTACTACGGCGCGCAATGCTGAATAGTGTTGCGGATGTTTGGACAAAAGTTAGGGGCGGACAAACCAGAATGTGGTATCAATCCTTGAATTCAAAAACTTTTAGTAGTAGTATTCACAGACTACTGGGTTGGGGTCCGCGCGACTATCATAACTAATGTTTGAAGACTTTTGGTGAAATGACTCAGAATCTATTACAATGGTGTAGTTGTATACACTCTCTGTCTTCCCTTAAACTAAGATTAAGATCGCTTCATACCTTTCTTTTTTATATTACCTATGAATCCGGTGTCCGTCATGTTGTGCTAATGCGGTATAGCAACTTGGACGGATGCATATATGTGCCTGGTCCTACGTTGTAGCTGACTGAGTGAATGTACAGCATGGAGCAGCCTAACGTCACCTGGTAAGAATCCTTGACCGAGTGCATTCGAGTAGTGGTATTTCTGGTAAAACCTATGAGATCAACATCACGCTTAGAGATATTTACCACTAATTACTTTAGTCGATTTTGAATGCATTGCTATGGTACCTGTTTTCTGCTCAACACCTCCATTTCCAGGTACATTCTGTTAGCTGCTTTTGTATTTACTTATTGAACGTGATACTGATAACGAAGTCCAATCGTTTTTTTACCATTAATTTGTTGTTTTTCAGAATCGCATTAAACTCGGAAGGTCCCTATACGTGTTCTGATATGCAATTTATGGCTTCTGTCAACTAATTGAAAGGCTCGGAACTTTCTAATAATCAAGGTTATGCAAGTGAAAAACAGCGAATTTCTGAATATGGAAGATTGCGCGAGGAGACCATGTACAGGTTCATGAAAACTTTTATATTGACTACTGTCACGTTTATTCATCTAATGGATTTAAATATAAATATAACAACTGTACTCAGTCTTTGCACTATTAATCTTGTTGTCATATAGAATTATAATCCGAAACGGTGAATTTATCATGATGTGATTCCCCAATCTGTAAGATATTATGTGGCAATCACATCGCTCATTTACAATCAGCCCTTCTCAAGAATACATTTGTGCTGGGGATAAGATAATATATTTAATGTGAATTGTAATGAGTTACACATAATAACTACGTCCGTAAGGCTAAGCCATGCCATCAGATCGAATGTCTCCACGTCTACCACTGTCATGTCGAATACACATCTCGGTCATTATATGCTTGGTTTCGAAGACAGTGTGTGGTTAGGAAACAATGCCGCTACAAGTACCCATCCGAATACACTGTCATAATAAAAAAAATTCATACGCAACCCAACATTCTAGCGAGACTTCTAAACTGATGCAACACTACAAATTTTCGTAACGAAACGGGTAATTATAAAGCAAATACTTAGTTGTTTTCAATTCTCACAAACAATTGCCCGTTAAGATTATCGGTGTGTCTCCCATGAAACTACGAAGGAGAAAGTAAAGACTGGGTAAGAGTTTACTGATCCATCTACTACCACTGGTAAAAGAAGAACAACATTTGATGCAGAAAAATCAGTTTACAAGTTGAATATATAGTCAAGTTAAAAATACTACTATGAAGAACTTTTTATAGTAAACAGTTCCTGTCACTTCTCCGCACTTTGTTATATTCTGATCCATATTTTTAATCGTAAAAAATGCTACACAAAGACAAGCGTTGGAGAAACTTAAGTTAAGTTACCTTCGTTCAATCTGTGCATACTGTTTGCTTCGTTTGGGTAGTGGAATTGTTGTGTTACTATGAAAGCTTTGTGTGTTATCTATCATTCATTGGATGCAATGAGAAGAATATGATGAACTATACAATTTATATTTTGTAATTGGTCGAGCTGTAAAAGTCCGTCTTATGTATGCCAGTAGGATATAATGACAACGACGGTATGTCACAATTTATCCACGTCACGTCTGCTCATAATTCTTTTTGCTTGAAGGCAAACAGAACAGGACGCCCACGACCAAAATTATCCGTCATTACCAACGAATATCTACAAAGTAGAATTGATCAAAAAGTAGTTTGCTTTAAGTGTGAATGTAATCAGTATGATTAGTCTGAGAAGAGAGTCTCTTTAGCATATCAACGAATTCAGTTCAGCTTTCGAAATGCCTGTACAGTATTATAAGTTGAAACGACTCGCTTACGCAGACTAAAATATCTCTTCCTTAATTGTAATTTAATATTTAAAGGTCTAACAATACAATGGTGATAAAATGTTAGTGTGGAATAATGCGCAACGTATATTTTAGGGATTTCCCTCAAAATTTCTCCAAACCTTGGAGATTTTCCTAAAATTGACACAAACTTTGGTAAGGCTCAAGCGTTCTCGAACTACTTTAGCAACGTGTATACCATAGAAGCGCCCTTCTCGTCAGCGTATATACATCCCCCCATACATACACTGGATAGCGTGACCATTAAAGAACTCGATGTCTTTGGTCTGCTAAATAAGCTTGACATAGGTAGATCCACGGGGCCCGATGAATTAGATCCTAGGCTACTAAATGAATTATCTAACTTCGTTGCAAGCCCTTTAAGTACATGCTTTAACCTATCCGTTACGCAGGGTCGCTTACCGAAAGATTGGAAAAACGCCATAGTAAGTCCTGTCTTCAAAACAGGTACGAAACACAAACCTGAGAACTACCGCCCCGTTAGCCTAACTAGTGTGGTTGTTAAAATATTAGAAAAGATTATTAGGGAGGAGCTGTTTAAGTATCTCGATAAAAACCGGATCCTCTCGCAGAAGCAGCACGGGTTCAGAATAGGTTATTCTTGTCTCACTAACTTATTAGTGGCTCGTGAAAGCTGGTGCGCTCTTAAGGACCAAAAGCTACATGTAGACGTCGCCTTCATTGATTTCAGTAAAGCTTTTGATAAAGTTCCGCACAACCGGCTGTTATATAAGTTAAGAAAAGTCGGGATTGGAGGCAATTTATTGATGTGGATAAAAGACTTCTTAGTTGGGCGTCAACAAAGAGTTCGGGTGAACTCAAGGTTATCTAGCTGGGAAACTGTGCTTGCTGGAGTGCCCTAGGGTACAGTTTTGGGGCCAGTGCTATTCCTCTTGTATGTAAATGACCTTCCTTGTCTCCTATCATCATCGGTCTTGCTATATGCTGATGATGTCAAGATATGGAGAACGATACGATGTAAGACAGCTTAGAACTTCAAAATGACCTGAAGAAGTTATCTGAATGGTCTCAAACATGGCAGTTGCCGATAAATACTTCCAAGTGTGTTGTGATGCATATCGGTCATCAAGGCACAGATACATACATGATGGATAACACTGAGCTACCTGTCGTCCAGACATATAATGACTTAGGCGTTATCGTTAGTCAAGACTTAAAGACTACTGCACACTGCCGTGCAATAGTCGCCAAAAGTTTTAGATCGTTATGGTCAATACGTAGGGCTTTTAGTCATGTCGACGCTAAGACGTTTTTGACTTTGTACACAGTGTTCGTTTGTCCTAAACTTGAGTACTGCATACAAGCAGCTAGCCCCTGCTTAAAAAAAGACAGTGAGCTTCTGAAAAAGGTTCAAAGAACGGCGACTAAGCCGGTTCCCGGAATAGCGAAGCTTCCGTATGAATCTCGACTGGCCAAGCTGAACCTTTTCCCGTTATCATATCGCAGAATTAGAGGTGACTTGATTACAGTCTACAAATTGCTTAGTGATAAATTCGCACCTAACATGCCTTCATTTTTCTTGTCTTCCAAAACAGAGAATTTACGAGGACACTCCAAAAAAAGTTCACAAGCCGAGAACAAATTACTTGTCAGCTGACTATCGACTTTCCCATCGAATCATCAACGAGTGGAATTCACTACCTCAGCACGTGGTTGAGGCTCCATCCGTCGACTCTTTCAAAAGAAAGTTGAATCAACTGAGAGACCACCATTGCCAGGACTAACATAGGCCATCGAGTCTCCTGTCCTTTCCAAACTGAAACTGAAGGTCATTTCACTTCGGAGATTTCTACAGAATTCCCCCAAACTTTGGCGCTTGGGCTATTGAAATTTCCGACTTAACCAAGCTCCCAATTTCGAGGAAACTTCGGTGAAGCCGCTATAGTAAATTTTGGGGAAACGGCACAAAACCCAAAAAGTTCCTTTTAACGTTGGTCAAGGTCATTTGACTTCGGGAGTTTCCCCAAAATTGGAAGCTCGGGAAAGTACCTTAATGATAGAAATTTGGACTGGGTGGTCATACATTCACTACCTCACCACAAATGACTCACTTCTAGTAGGCATGAACGCTGTTTGTTTTGCTTCTCGTCCTTTATTTTGCTTACCCACATTTTCAGCTTCTTTTAGATATGCCACCCATAACGCATACGGAAAGGATAACTTTGTCTTACGCCATCATTAATACCTCAGATGTTCGAGAGGGATATAAGGTCACAGTATATAGAAGCTCTCAAACTGACATTGATTTACCCTCGACTGTCATTGGTTCCTCGCAACGCGAACTCCATAAAGCGCGCCAACTCTCATCAGTCTTCAGTAATAAGGATAGGATGTCTGTCGACCTATATTAATCCTTGCAGTTTGTAACACTGTGGAGGTCTAATCTTGTTATGAATATATAAAAAGGTGCTGATATTATGTGTTCCGGTAGAGAATTCTGGTAATTCACTACTTCAGTCTTCAGTCTTCAGTAATAAGGATAGTAGGTTGATGAACCTGTGTTAATCCTGACACATTGCTTTCCAGTGAAGGTCCAGCTTTTCCTTGAAAGTATTCACTGATAGGGCTGATACCACTTGTTCGGGTAAGGCGTTCCAATCATTGACTACTCGATGAGAAAAACGGGATCCCACTTTAAGTTTATTAGATCGTGGTTTATGAACCTTCTTGCTATGACCTCGGAGATTAATAGTGCTGGAGGGAGCAAAAAGATAAGACATATTAACACCCAAATCATAATTAAAGATACGAAATGCCAGTATAAGGTCACCTCGTGTCCTACGATACGACAAGGGGAAAAGATTTAGGCGTTTTAAACGCTCATCGTAAGGGAGTCTAGAAAGACCCTTCACTAATTTCGTTCCCACACGCTGGACACGCTCAAGGGAGTTAGTATCCTTTACCAGACACGGGCTAGCTGCTTGGATACAGTACTCTAAATGTGGTCTAACATATATGGGATATAAAATTCTAAACATTTCCTCGTCAAAAGATTTGAACGCTCAGCGAAGTGACCATAACGCACGAAAACCTTTGACAGCGGCTGCTTTGCAATGCTTAGTTGTTTTTAAATCATGACTTAATATTACTCCTAAGTCTTTATGCTCTTGAACGCATGGAAGAGGTTTACCCTCAATAGTGTAACGGTAACTATTACCGTGACCGATGTGCATTAGCACACTCTTCCTAGCATTGATTTCTAAGCCCCACTCTCGAGCCCATCTAACTAAATCGTCTAAGTCAGCTTGAAGATCCACATGATCAGCCGCACTTTTTATTGTTCTCCAGATTTTTACATCATCCGCAAACAATAATGTCGACGACCTAAGTAACAGCGGTAAATCATTAACGTAGAGAAGGAAGAGCAGAGGGCCTAAGATGGTGCCTTGGGGTACACCACTTTTGACCGGCTTCCAATCGGATAGCGTTCCGTTGACTCTAACTCTCTGTCTGCGGTCACATAAGAAATTTCCTATCCACTCATGTACAGTGCCTATTATTCCGAAGCTCGTGAGCTTCTGCATAAGACCTACGTGTGAAACCTTGTCAAACGCTTTGCTGAAATCTATGAATATCACGTCGACAGACAGACCGTTATCTAGGGCTGCTGTCCAATCCTCCCTCGCAATAAGCAAGTTAGTCAAGCATGAACGCTTGTTACGAAATCCGTGTTGCTCAGGAGCTAACAGATTGTGTAAATCTATGTG